GTGGGATCGGACCCATGTCTATTGTAGAACATCTGTAAAGACTACGCTGTATGCGCTCTCCTAACGATGGGTTTTGGTTTCTTTGTGACCCTTTGTGATGTGGTTTGTTGCAGACCAAACCTTCTCCCCCCGCGCCCACAGCAGCGTAGACCCGGCACCGGACCTGAATTGCCCGACACTGTGTTGTTGTGGCGCTTGCAAAAAGCTCTGTAAAGACGTGTTTAACGCATAATATGCAATGGAATTGGTAATGTAAATAGAAAACATATTTTTCTAGCAGAACGCAGGGTTTCCACCGCTACACTGCTCTCTAAGAAGAGTTCACATGGGTCTAAATATAACGCGGCAGAGTTTCCGCATCATGAAATTCAAGTTTTGTAGAAAAAATTCGCGTGATTAGGTGATTCAACAACAAAACAACCGCGAAACACTCAATCAAAAGCATTTTCGCATAGAATTATAACAGAAATTAGTTGCTGTTGAGGCACTACAGAAGGATGTTAGAGTGGAAATAGTTGCCAGAGTACACGACCGGAAAGAGCGGCATTCGGAAAGTATGCAGGATTTTTCCTTTCACGCTGTTTCTCAAGTGATGTTCTATGGCGTTAGAGACCTTTGTAGGCATTAAATTAACATTCGACTGAAATTTTTCAGTGCTTGCTTGAGCTCGTTCGCCGTCGGATGCTCACACCACGTGACCTTCCGTTGAGCGCTAAATACATTGTGGGCAGTGGGCTACACTTTTCCGGCCCACTTACACAGAAATCGTCTTAATTTGGATTCGTAGGCAAATCTGCTTTTCGAAAAATCGGTAAAACACGCCGCATCAGTGAGTTTTGAAATCGAAATAAATTCCTGACCATTAGAAAGCAAGTGTCGGTGTTCATGAAATTTGGTGCGGAAAAACTCCGAGCATTGGGACTGTTACAAAATGAGTTATTTAATGCAATTTTGCATGAATCTATCGCATACAACATATTAGAGCGTTGCTATGATTAAACTGACATATATTTTGTAGTGGGGCACGTGTGGGGCGGTGGTCAGAGGCGCCCTGCGATACACTCATGTTAACGACACCGCCGCATCCATGGCTCACTAAGCCTTCCATCCCTCTGGGGTCGGCAAATTGGTACCAGTTTTGTCTAGGAGGATAGTAGCGCTGGTTCAATACATCGATAGGCCACCGTGAGTCATTTTAAAGGCCAGATATGCATTCAATCGCCTCCAATCATGCTTAATGAAGTCGATGCATGGCGGTTCCCTCAGGGATTGATCAACGTCGAGAGTCGAGTTCCTACAATAAATAGCACGGATGAATGGCCAGAAGTCATACGCGGCCTAACCCCGTATGTTCGCATCGATTTCTGATGTGGGATGGTGCAGTCTTCAACCATATGCGACTATAATCAGCTGTTCTAATCTTACTCATTGGAAGTCACATAAAAAGTTGTGAGCTTTTCGAGAAACCGTTGATCATATAATTACCGTAGGGTTTTTCGTCTTTTGTAAGTGTTATTGAAGCGTTTCGAGTAGTAAATTGTATATCAGTATACCCTTCCAGGCTTTGAAGAAGGCGATGCTGCCAAAATGTCAGCCACTGTTGTATCGTATTGTGTTTTTCTATGGAAGTAAATGTAAGCTGTATAACAACCTAGCGATTGCTGAACAAGAAAACGACGCGTTCATATTCCAATGCCGAGGTTAATAGAAAGTTGATCCTGTGAACAATATATACGTATATATAATATGAACATGATGATGCTAAGGTATTTGCAAAACTCCGGACCGAAGATGCCTGCGGTGGGGAACGAACGTGATATTACCCTTTCCGGGGGCTAACGCGTTCACCACCACACTATGGAGGTCCTTCGTTTCGCTTGTTTCTCAGCTGGTTTCCTATCGATGAGCACCATCAGAAATCACCCATCAACAGTAGAAAATTAGCCGAGGGACGGGTGAAACAAAGGAGCCGCATGGTGTGGCGGTGAACGCGTTAGCCCCCGGAAAGGGTAACAGCGCGCTCGTTCCCCACCGCAGACACTTGCGGTCCGGAGTTTTGCAAATATCTCAGCATGGCTATGGTTATATTGATTTAATTATAACAACGCGCTAATGTGATATAAACAACAGATTCATGCGAATTTGTATTAAGTAATTCCTTTTCTAGTAATTCCAATGCTCGGAGTTTTTCAGCACACAATCTCGGGAACACCGGCACTTGGTTTCTAATGGTCAGGAATTTATTTCAATTTCAAAGATCACTGATCCTGCGTGTTTTACTGCTTCCTTAAGAAAGCAGGTTTTTTTCTAATTTAAATCAGCATAATTTTTGTGTAAGTGGTCTGGAAAAGTAAAGCTCACTGCCCAGAATGTATTCAGCGCGCAACAAAAGCTCATGTGGTGTGAGCATCCGACTGCGAACGAGCTCAAACGTTGAAAAATTTCGGTCCAGTGTTAATATGATGCTTACGAAAGACTCTAATCTTATAGAACATCACCTGAGAAGCAGCTTAAGACGAAAAATGCGACAGATTTTTCCCTAATAACGAAGTTCTTGCAATGAAAATAAAAAGAGCACGCGAAGTATTCGAAGGCCATTGTGGCCGATGAGTGCAAGGAAAACGAATCCAGTACGAGAAGTGGAATGCGCACGGTAGATGTGGTAACGGTTAAGGTATAGAAATTTTAAAAAAAACTGTGACTTTCTCGCAATGTCATATAGTTGGATTATTGGTATTGACTCGTCAGGTTTTCTCTTTGGTTTACATACAAGGCGGAGGTAGCTAACAAGCGAGGTCTAGTGCCCGCGAATTCGTAACTATGATTGGGCTGACTCGATACCCACTACTTCTCTGGCGCTGCGAACCTCTTTAATTCCACTTTTGCATCATAAAGCGTTCAGCCGTTGATCACAGATTTCGACCCATGAAACGGGGTAAGGATTCTTAGAAAACTGAGGCATACAAAAATGCAAGGAATGGGATGGTTTCTTTACTGGAGATGCATTTCGCAATAATGCATCGTGCAATGAACATCTCCTATGCGCAGCATGTTGGCAGGTAAATTGAACTTCACCCATATCATTACATTAAGTCAACATCCCAGGCGAATACTTACTATAACTAACTGGGTACCACGCAACATCCTCAATTTTGCAAGCGCATCCAAAAGGTATGTGAAATTGACGGGCACCATCGCTTCGTTCAAATCTCAACCGATGCCTAGTTGTCAATATTCGTCTTGAGATTTACCAGTTGGTGAAATATGGCCAACGTTGTGATGAATAACTTCTATGCGTTCACTGGGTTTCTGCCCAGAAAAAACTGGTTTTCGTTGGTTCCTGAACAAAATGAGTTTATTGCGCTTTATTCCATTTCTCAGCCTTTTTAACCACAATGCTTCATAAATAGAAATCTTAGACAAATAGCTTTCCATACTAGGTTTAAACCAAAACCCATCGTTAGGAGAGCGCATACAGCGTAGTCTTTACAGATGCTCTACAATAGACATGGGTCCGATCCCACGCCCTAGGCTCACGAATCTTTCCATTCAAAATGTTGACAGCAAAATGAATGTTTTTGAAAGAAAGGTTACAACTTCGACAAAAGGCCGTGATGAATGTAGTTCAGACATAAATGTGTACATCGTGTACGCATAGGCCTCTTATATTTCCTATTTGGAATCCCTTCGGTGATTTTTGATCCGTGCGAAGATATAACAAGCCCTGATTGTTACTGTGTGAATACCAACAGGCACACTGACACTTACCGTGGAAATTCAAGCAAACGTGCCACCTCGTCCGGAAACTACTTTTTGTTTCCATATCAAAATGAGAGCACCGATCCTCTCCTTGGTCGCAGTAGAAAATCTGTATTGGACAAGCCATATAATGATTACGAGAGGTGTAGGAACACAACTCCGTGCACCGAAATAGAACACAAAAAGTGCACTAGCAATGAAGTCAAGTGTCCGGTTTATACAGTGCGCGAGCATGCATGCAAAAACCAATGCGAATGGTCCCAAAAGTTTGATGAAATAGACAGCTGGGAACTCGACAATCATTCTTCTAAGTACACATGGGGCACAAAGCAAAGCGGTGATGGTTTTCATGTGGTAGCGACGATCCTGGTGCAGGCCTGGGAACATTTTAGATGAACTCCAATAACCAAATATAGGTAGGAAAGGAGAACGCCTCAATATCACACTTGTTGTTCATTTATTTTATATTTTACATGACCTGCGATCATACCTACTTTTGCGTATTCAGCTAGTTCTTGGATTCGATTCCTCTTCCTCGAATTCACCGTACCTGATGATCTTCGAGAATTTTTCGTCCCGCCAACGCTGCTGTTTGAGGATTGTACGTCTTTATTATGAATGTCTAGGAATGTTCGTCGAGTAGATTCTATTTGCATTCTTAGAGATACCCGGGATAAGTCATTGCCACGTAGATCTTAGGAAAGTGTTATCACAGGTGACGTGGCGTGTTATCTCCGATTAGTGTGTTGATCCGAGTAAGCTTCATTACCCACATTTTGTGAGCGAAAACACGAGCGATTTTACTACAGCAGTTATGGATATGCAGGTGGCAAGAGAGGATAACTCGAAAGAGTCGAATATTACTCGATGTTCCGTACATCAAAAGAAGATTGACACAAAGGTATGCGATCGTAAAACCTTGCAGTTTACGAGAGATGATAGAATGGCTCCCGTTTTCATTTCTAACGTTTCAGGAGCCTGGTATTGAGAAAGTGTTTAACAAGAACAGTGAACCGGAGAAGTTGAAAGGAAAGGAAGTTCGGGATTTTTTGCGACGGCGAAAACAAAGTGTTCGTGATCGTCCATTGGCAAAATTAGCCGGTGATCTGAAGAATGGTAGGAAAATTACAAGACCAGTTTACGAAAACCGGAGCAGAAAGTTAATGCTCAATTTTAGAATGGGAGAAGAGAGAAGATAACGGCATTGAGTGCAAGAAGAAACGAGAAAAAAGAGTTAGATGGGCCGACCAGTTGACATCACATCATTCGGTGAGTGACTACAAGGGATCAAATTTAACGCGAGAGATTTTCTTCAATCGAATTCAAAATAGGGTACAGGATTTTTCTGGAATTTGCATATATCTGCAGAAAACCTGCCAGACTTTTTGTTATATCCCAATGAAATTCTGGTTTTCTAGAAGCTACTCCCGATTTTTTTCTCATTTTTCTTTTCTTTGTTGCAGTAGGTGTTAGTATTGCTATTGGAATCCGAAAGGTATCTCAGAAGATGGGCAATGATCAAATATTTTAGGGGAACATTGAGGCGAAAGGGAAGAGTGGTTGGAGACCCTGGGCCGCGACGTTCGCCGAGAAACCGCGCGCAACAATTGGTTAAATTAGCCAATATTGCGAAAGGACCATCCACTTTGATCGGCGCTGCCAAATGAGCCGAATGTTCTTTTCAAGTCAATAAAAGTTGTCCTACACGCTCAATATATTTCAGTGTGTTTCAATAAAGTGCTGATACGACCTATCATGCTTAATTCTTTTCGAAACTTTGTTTTCTCGCATTTCTTTCCTTCATATAAGGTTCTGTGATGTTGAGGATAACGTCAGTAGACAGCGGATGGCACGTAAATTGGGATATGCTAAACTTGTGCGCGTTTTCCCTCTCATGCAACGATGTGATCCAGAAGGGCTTCTCTTGACATGAAAGGTATTCTATCATGTAAGCTCTGAAGGCCTTCTCCTGCTACTTTTTGGCACCGGAGGGCTATCATGTTATTCTATTGGGTAGTGTGGATACTCTGCCTAGCCTCTGCAGTGATGGCTGCGTATAACACGTGCGATGTCATGTCTATGTATCAGGTCCAGTATATATATTTACATATGTATATATATGCATATTTATATGTGTCTCGCGCAAGGTTTACGAGGGATGTTCATAAGTTCTACATTAATTAGCTGTTAAGACAAAGTTTATATAAAGTCGGTCCGTTGAGTGTTCATTAGTGAGAAGAGTACTGGTAGTTATCTCTCCATATTTATGTGTAACCTATATCAACTTTAAATAGAATAGAAATTTATGAAAAGATTCTAAGTAATACTCTCACCGTATGCTACCTGAGCTAGGAGCGATAGCTTTAATAGAAAATAATCAAATGCTGACATTTGAGTACAATCCATAAGTAACGAATATAATGGACAAAGGATAAAGCTCTTGGCGTTGTTCAATACCTAATGGGCGCGCCACGCATTCGACTTCATTAATCATAATTAGAGGCGATTGATGCATAACTGGCGTTTACAGTGACTCAGGGTGATCAGTGTATCGAGCAAGTGCTGTTGTCCTTCTAGAAAATTCTTATAGCAATTTGCAAACCCCGGAGGGATGGAAGACTTGGTTACCCACGAGCGCGGAGATCGATCCTATGTACGTATCGCAAGGCGCCTCCGACCATTGCACCACAAGCACTTTAGTGCAAAATATAAGTTGCTTTAATTATAACAACGCTTTAGCATAATGTGCACGATGGATTCATACGAAATTTTATTAAATAACCGATTTTGTAGTAGCCCCAAGTATTCAGCGCGCTTCCGTTTTACCGTCCGACAGCGAACGAACTCAAACACTGAAAAATTGCAGGCGAATTTAAGTTTAAATTAATTTAATGCCTTCGAAAGATTCTATTCTTATAGAAAATTATCTGAGAAATAGCTTCAGACTTAAAATGCAGTATATGCTTTCTTGCAACGTCAAACTTTCTGGTCGCGGACCCAGGCAACCATTTCCACTGTGACATCATTCTTTAGCGCTTCATCAGCAACTAGTTTATATTGTAATTTTATGTTAGAATGCTTTCTATTAAGTGCTTTATGGTTGTTCTGTTGTTGAATCACCTAGTAACGCGATTTTTCCCACAAAACCTGAATTTCGTGACGCCGCAACTCTGCCACGCTGTGTTTAAACCCATTTAAATTATGCTTAGAGAGCAAAGTAGCAGTGAAAACTTTGTATTCTGTTAAGCAAATATGTGTTCTATTTACAATAAAAGCCTCATTACATCTTATGCATTAGACTCGTATTTCCAGAGCTTTTTCCAAGCGGGACACCACACAGTGTCAGGCAATTTAGGTTCGCGGTAGTCGACGCTGCTGGAGGCGCAGAGGGGGAAAACCGCGCCGTAGATAAGCAGCAGCGACGTACGACAAACAGCTTGTTGTTCGCCACTCGTCTCATCACAAATGTCTGCCGTAGTTACTGGTTCGCCCACTACGGTTGCGGAGGTTTCCAAGCCAAAAAAAGCCAAGGAAGCTTCGTTTCATCCGACGTACCCCTCAATGATCCGCAAGATGGTATCCAAGTTGAAGGTATCCGAGTCTGGATCATCGAGGGCTGCTATCCTGAAGTTCATGATGTCGCGCTGCAATCTTGCAGACTATTTCACTAAGGTGATTTTCCTACCCATTTTGGCAGGTGGTTTCCTTCTGGTTCTTTGTGATGTTCTTCGTTGCAGATCAATTCCCATCTCCGCATTGCGCTTAAAAATCCTGTCATGAACGGTGAATTGAAGCAGATTAAGGGAATTGGAGCGTCTGCAAGCTTCAGGCTTGGTAAGAAGAAGTCCGTGTCGGCGACTAAGAAGGTAGGTGGTGGACGTTCTGCACATTTTGTTCCGCATTTTTCGGATGGTATAGTATCCAAGAATTTAAAAGTTCCGGGTTCTAAGACGAAAAAGATTAAGGCATAGACTGGCCGCCGTGTAGCCCTTCATCTTCCGGAGATCTCAAGCACATAGTTGTATTTTTTACGTGCTTGAATAAATATGTATGTAATATGTGATAAATATTAATAATTGGAATTCGTAGTAGTGTTACTGAGCGGTCAAGTGTTGCCTGGGTATGTTGCTGGAACTGAATAAACTCTTTGTCGTTTGAACTCTAGCCATTCGTAGAACAGTTGCATTCAACTAGGGTTCACAGGTTCCGATAAGGCTTTCCGTTACATACGGCTACGTTTAAGCGGCAGCATGCAAAGCTCCAGATGGCAAGCGGAGTCAACGATCTTTTGCATTGAAGACATAGATAAGTCATCATGTTATGTGTGAGTGCGAGTGGATCCTGTATTGCCTTTAAGTTCTCTCGCTGCTTCCTCTTCGTGTCGGTTAGTTCGCATGGAAATTGCTCCTCCTTTGCCACCATCTAAGCTGGACTTTTTGTAAACAGATCAAGAGGTGCGCCTCACCGTTTTTGTTAAATTTTTCCTGCTCTGTGGTAGCCGCCATCTACGGATGTGCTCAGGTGCGACTGGTGCGTAAGTGGTTTGTCCTAGAATGATTGTATGATCTAATGGCTTGAAGAGGTGCTAGCTGCGTTCTCACTAGGATTCTTGTGGTGGAGCAAAAATTTTTCGACAGCCTAGTTAGGAAATTTGTTACCTCAGGTCCAATGTATTAAATGCTATTCATAATCCTTCAAGTATGGCCATTGGTGCAAAGATACTACGAAGCTGGGCTAACGTTTGGTCCAACAACGAGTGGGAAAAGACTCCGGTTGTGTTGGGCACTGTACTATAATGAAATGTAAACAAGGTGCTAACCTTTGAGCATAGGCATTGACCACTTCGAGAACTTGAAGAAGAATTTAAATTGCTGCTCTAATTTCCGCAAACTGATTATCATCGATAAATTTTCTACGTTATCTACTTACATGTTTGATTCATGGGAATGCTTGTCTTACGGGTATTGTTTCTTCTATCCCTTTTATTTCCTTAATTTTCCTTTTAGCTTTAGACGCCTACTTGGATATTTATACGGTCCGTCATCTCTGGTTGTGCGAGCCCCAGCATGTTCTACACTTTTCGGGGTCTTGCTGGCTAGGTCATTGTGTTTCCCTGGAGTCCCGATGTCAGCATGGCCAAAGTCTGCCCGAGGGTCATCACACTATAGATAGTCCCGGCCCTTGTTGATCAGAGGGAGATTTGCCACCATGCCACTAGTTTGACACTAGGACGGTGGTGGTTCCTGGTATCGGCTCATTCGTAGCTGTACTTCGTGTTAGAAATGCCGGACTTTCTCTCGGCCCTGGAGACCCTGCCGTGTGGATGAATCCTCAGCTGTACATTGCAACTTGATACCTAGGAACACCGCCCAGCCACGCTCAGGCTGCATGCCGTTGTGAGGTATAAGTATCACCTGTAGTTCCGTTGATCGTCGAGTGATTCGAGCGGGCGCCAGTAAATTTTCCAATTTTCCCTGTCGCGTGCAAGAGTAGCCCAGTGGGTTCTGCTCTCTCTAGAGACTTGTCGAGCGTCATATCTTTCTTCAAGTCTCTTTGTGAAGAAGTCTGACCATCGGAACGGTGACCTTCCTGCTGTGCGTTTGATATCCCCAAGAATCCAGTCACTAACGGCTCTTGTCCATCGGTTGTCATTCATACGCATTATGCGTCCGGTCCGCCTTCACTGTTTGGTGTACGCAACGGCATTTTTGATTTTTGACCGTTGACGCAAGTCGGAGCTTCGGATCCCATCCTTTACTTGTGTGAAACGGGATTCTCCTAGCATGGGTTCTTTCCACTGTGCGTTCGATAACGCTGAGTGATCTTTCATCCTGCTTGCGCAGCGACCAGGTTTCTGACACATACGTTAGGGCAGGAAGTACCGTTGAGTCGAAAAACTGGACACGGCGTCAGGTGTTCTTTGTTTTCTTCACTACATCCTCTATGCTCTTGAAAGCTCCCCAAGCCGCTCGTTTTTTTCTGCACGGCTCTGCAGCTAGGTCGTTCATCATATTGATTTCCCGACCTAGATAGATAGAACTGAAGCATTCGGAGATATTCGTTCCGTTGGGCGTGAATGGGGCATGCAAAACCAATCTGTTTCTCTTGAAAACCGTTTTCGTGAGATTTAGTCGAAGGCCAATCCTTCCACAGGCTTTATCAAAGTCGTCGAGCATACGTTCCGCTTGGTTAATGTTTGGTGTTATAAGGACGAAGTCATCAGCAAAGCGAAGATGGTGTAATTGCCGACCATCGAGTTTCACTCCCATGTTGTCCCATTCCAATGGTCGCATGACGTCCTCGAGGGTGGCGGTGAATAATTTTGGCGAGATGGTATCTCCTTGCCTAACACCTCTTTTGATGTCAATTTTAATATCATTGTAGAATGGTGATATCCTGGTTGTGAAATGTTTGTACAGCTCACGAAGAACATTTATATACAGAGCAGGGACTCCTTGACTATCAAGGGCTTCCATGACTGCTTCTATTCATTTGAGACAAAGGCCATCTTTAAATCGACGAAAGTGAAACAGAGCGGTCTCTTGTACTATCGCTATGCTTGAATGAGTTTTGTCATCGTTTTCATGCGGTCCATTGCACTAAATCCTTTTCGAAACCCTGGTTACTCGCGACTGCCCTACGCCCAGTGTTATACTGTCCACTTTAAGATGAGTCAGGAGCGGGTAGCCCAGTTGTTGTGTTCTCGTTCATTACACGAAGTGCTAGACCTACCGAGGCGTTAGTTCGATCTTGCGCTGTGTCCAAAAACCCTCTCCTTTTGTCGGTGTCTTGAAATCGGTAACAGACACGCCTGGCACAAGTTCACTCCCTTTCATCTAAGTGGGAACGTGCTAGAGCGGGTGTGTTAGGGTTCCAAGGGAACCGACACATCATCGACTCTTGGCATTCTTGAAATGCCACGCATTAACAACGCTGAACGAATGATTGTTGACTTTTACAAGGTTTGCAAAAAAAATCGGTCTTTGACTAAGTCTTATGAAAACACTCCTTTAAAGAAAGAATTTTTCTCATGCTCCGATCACGTTCAGCAGAACGAAAGGGAGAACCTAAAAATGATAGAACGATCCGAACACTATTCAACTGTATGTATAGCCACACAGATGAAACGTTCACCTTCACACTGTGATGGCGGATTGTCTGAATTTGTAAGCAATGTTACCATTGCTGGAAACTTCGACATCGTATCGACGAGCTCAGAAAGTAGTAATGTTCTATGGTGTGCACGGGTAACATGAAGATAGGCATTCTAACCGCGAAGAAAGTTCCAAGAAATACGCTTGCACAAGAAAAAGAAAAATGGGAAAAACTTGCAATGAATAAACTTCCTATACTTCACTTTTCGAAGTTTCAAAACTTCATTCGATCACAAACAAAAACTTCAATAGAGGATAGAAGCCACTAGGACCAGTTACAATTCGTACAAGGGTCATCAAGCTTTCCATGCCTCCGAGGTAGGCCTACCAGACTTGTCTTGGAGGATATCAGCACTGGTTCGATACATCGGTGGGCCACCGTGAGTCATTGCAAAAGCCAGATATACAAAACACCTCTACAATGTTTAATGAAGTCGAATGCATGGCACATTCGTCAGGGATCGATCAAAGCCGAGAGCTTTATCGTATTTAGCTTTATAAGTTCGTAAGGGGCTCTAATTGGTAAGTACTCCAAAATCTGGCTGATTTCAAGGAGCTTTCACTACGCCGGCTACATTCGCGGGTCAGGCTCGTCGGACCGCGTATTGTTGGAGCGCAAATGAAATGCGCATTGAAATCAAAACGTACGATGCGAAACGTACAGCAAGGTATATATTGGAAACAATGCGTATGGTCGTAAAAGGGTTAACGATAGAGGTGTCCTAAGTGATAGAGAATGTAAAAGTCGGATTTTCTGAGGATGAATTGAGATTTGTGATGCAAATTGTGGATCTCTGCACGATAATCCTAACGACTCTTCGATCAGAAGACGTTTCCTTAGCTTTTATTTGTAAGATACAACTATCAAGCTCACCAGCTTAGAGATATGGCGGTTATGTTCTGGTCCGCATTCGAAGAAAGGAAAAAAACGCGCGCCACCAACATGGTTCACCGACGGTCTCTAACCAATCGATACTGCTCCAACGACGTCTCATCGCGTTTTTGCACAGCAGTTTTGCTTCTGGACCTCGCAACGATGTCTCTGACCGTAAAGGAACGAATCGACGTGGTTCTTTTTGCTGGAAATCAACTAAGCTATCGTGAAATAGCTGACGAATTTAACAGACTGCATCCAGATCGTAAGCCAATTTCCAGTGCAACTGTTGGCAATCTCCTCGCTAGATTTAAGAAAACCGGTGCCGTCTACAATAAAAAACAATTGGTACCGGAGAACAAGTGTTATAATGAAGTTCCTCTTCTTGAAAGATTCAGCGGATCTCTCAGGAATTCCGAAGAACAAACTGTCAATGGTTTGACCGACTCGAAAAGGCTGTATCGTCTGATACGAACTCAAAAAGGGTGAGTCGTTCTTTGCCTTCGTTTTCTGGCTTTCTTCCTAGACAACACTGGAGAGAGCTGTGTTGTATGTGGTGCTAAATGTGGTAGGTTTTACTTCCAAAGTAGCACTTTGAATTTGTGAGTGCAAAGTTGGTTTTCCATTCAAGTGTTTTTTAAATACCGGCATTTTAATTTGCTTATGTTATTCTAGAGTTATTTATTTATATGTTCTTAAGAACTGATCGCGTTGAGCTGATACCAACCTGGCATCAACTCAACGCAATCAATTCTTAAGAACATATAAATAAATATAACTCTAGTATAACCACCAGCAAATTAAAATACCGGTATTTAAAAAAATTGTTGTTGTTGCTTGTCGTTGTCGTGGCTGTTGTTGTTGTTGTTGTTGTTGCTGGATGGTTGACGTTTCGGCGATTTCGCCTTCCTCAGATCCCGGACGTATTTCATGTCACATTAACCGGTGAATTTAGTGTTCGGTATTCGGTGATACATCTATAGTATTAATGAACACCTAACATATATACAAGCATCGTACTGATCAAAAAGCTATTCGCCATGTTGTTACGAGCGAAACTGCCCACCTTGAACGACAACGACGGCGACAACGACAGCAATAACAAGGATACCTTATACCAACCTCGCATCAGCTCAACAAGATCAGTTCGTAGGAACATATAGATAAATATATCGACTATTTATGCCGAGTTTTATACGAAGTCGGTTTTTTGAGTCATTTATTCCGTTATTAGAGCTAATTCCATTTTAGGCATCACTGTGTTCTTCTCAAAGTCGACGAGAACATGGTGGACAAGTTAGTGGACGTGCTGGTACACTTCGAACTAAACTGTTCATTCTTTTTTTTTGACGGACTCAACAAGTTCTGTTTAGGTCAGCAACGGGTTCCATGATTTTGTCTTCTTAAGTAACGTCTCTGGCAGCTTCAAGGCGAGAACAACGTTTTTTTTTTGATTATCCTACATTTAAATTGACATTTGGCTTTTTGTTATTTGCCAACATTTTTTTTTCTCAGAATTCCACATACGACAATAGCCCAATGGAACATCCTCTGATGGGTGCCAACGGTTGGCACTTTCCGCAACCATCTACATCTTCGGGTACCTTTTTGTTATAATTTTCACCTCTGTTTTCCTCCGCACAGAACCCTGCAATCTGAAAGTATTCGTAACAAAATGAATTATTTATTAGTGTGACCTGCTAAGGAGATGCGCAGTATGTTACACGGCCGCTCATTCTCTGTTTTTAAGTTGTGATTCACTGTTACTTTGGTATTAAGTATAAATTTAAAACTCCTTGTTTTCTACAGGTCCACAATCGTCATCTTTGTTCACTGTTGCCAAGCAAGATCCTGAAGAGGTACCATTCTTCAAAGCAATTTCTGCTGCAGATTTGCTGGGAACCTTCGAGAAAGGCCGGTCTTCTGCTGGCCTGGTTACCTCAAAGGAGCAAAATCGTTGGTTCACATATGTTTCTATCGTTTTTCTTTCATGCTTATGCCATATTTTACCAGTGTGGAGATTAATTTCCTGTACTCATCTGATGGAATAAAAGGAAGACAAGGCGTAGTTGAACTGTAGGCTCCGAAGAAGTACGTTTTGTATATACCGCTTCATGTTTTTCCTTTTCAGCGTTGAAAAAGAGATCCCAAAAAAATTTACAATCCGTACCATTTAACTGGATTCCCGAAAGTAGCTTTGATGATACGGATTCTCAATCGGGTACAGCTTTTATTTCTATTTATCACAGGTTTTTATTTTATCAGTTTTTTGTAAAGTACTGTTGCAGGCCTTCCTGCAATTCATGAAGAACAATGCAAGAAGGGCTACGTGAACTGTCATCTTTGTAAGAATATGATCTTGGCGTCGAGGTAGGTTGTACAATTGAATTAATGAATTTCTGCTGAGTTTATTCCACAAATCCACTTGGTTATCTTTTCTTCTTCATTAAGGTTCTCCAATCTCTCACGTCATGCTCGTAGACATGCAGTAGTAAAGAAGTACGAGTGTGCACACTGTGATGTTCAGCATAATGAGCATTTTAAGGTCGGTGAAACTTTTAATGCAAAGTTTGTATGTTTTACTTTTGAGACCACGGGTACTTTTTACCGGTACAAGTAGCTATTCAGAGCCATATTATAAATTGGTACTTAAGGACTCCTTCAAAATAACCACCTTGTCGAGTTAATTGTGCACTGCACTTTCGTAGACAGTTTCGTGGCTCCATCTTTTCATAATGTGCTCAAATTTGAACTCGTGAAAAGCAATACATTTTTCTTAATTTGGCAGTGTCATTTAAACTACTAAGCTGAATGTAAATTAATTTTGGGAAGAGAAGTGCACATAGCAAATATTTAAGCGACAAATGTGGTTTGATATGCTATGCAGAGTATAAGCGACAAGTAGCTGTTGAAAAATACCTTTCTAAAGTTCGATGTAAGAACAAAAGACTAATTATTTTTCATGCAGGTCAACAAAAAGCTTTATATCCACCCTACAAAGCCATTCAAATTCGTTTTATTTCATCCTGTCGTTTTCCTTGGACGTCCTTTGTTTCGAACGCGTTTATGTGTGCGAGTATTATTCTCTTGTCAAAACTCATCTTGTCCAATAAGCATGAATGGGAAACACTGTTGATCCTGCAAATGGTTTCCCTTCATGGTAAATTTTGATGTGCATTTCACCGTTTCTTTCATTCATCTATCGCCTACTCTTCTCTTTACACTGCCGGCACATCTGTGTCTCGTTTTACATGTATATTATGTATAATCCACCTGATTATGAAAGAGTGTTAATTGTGGAATGTCGTAAATGGGTTGTGCGACTTTAGCATTCAATGTTCGCACTTACTACTAAGAGGCATTTCTTAGATGCACTACTGCAAATAGTTGGCAACATGGTAGCAGTTCTAAGAGGAAATAGTAAGTCGAAAATGTGGGTGTGGTATAGCTAATGGTTTCACAGAGAGTCGCCAAAGGCTATACTGCTACGCATATCTTGTAGAGTTCTTACTTGGATACTCGGATAGCATGTCCTCACTGATTGAGCGGGCCCCAGCAGAATCTTCATTTTTTTGGAGTTTTGATGGTTTAGCCATTGTGGTTCCCTGGAGTCCTGAGGTCAGCCTAGCCAAAGTGTGCCCCAGGTCGTCACCACCACATGTAGTCGGCGTTCTTGTGGATAAGAGGGAGATTTGATACCAGGACCGTGGTGGGTCCTGGTATTGGTATTGGTTTATTTTTCGCTGAGCTTTCTGATGGAAATGCCGGACGCCTTCCCACCTTGGGAGACCGTGTTGAGGGATGAATCCCACCGCTGTACATCGCAGGCCGACACCGAGGAACACCTCCCAACCACGATGAGGCGGTGAACCATTGGAAGGGGAATTCTTATTACTAAGACGAAATTGGTTGCAGCAGTTGGTGAAATTATGATGCCGTAGATTCATTTATCAATCACTATATTATCGTAAAGGTGTTTCTAGATTCGTACGCATATGGCCACTGTTCATGGAGACAGCATTTCTGATGCAGTTGACAACACCACACCGGAAACGCAAAGAATGTGGGACCTTCTGGTGCAGAAGTGTTTCCCTTCTCACTTTAATGCAAGTTCAGAGGACAAGATATCTTTACATTTTAGAATATTTTTCGCCTTTTCTTCGAACAGCGTTTTTATTTTGTTTTTGGTTTCGCTATGGATTGTGTTAACAACGAAACTACTTCTTTACGTGTACACTGTGAAAGTAGAAGATACGAGATAAATGACCGATTTTACTGAATTTGTTTCTAACAATTATCGCCAAAATTGCTTAATCGTCCATTCATGCGCAACATTTCACTACGGCTTTTGCGACAATATATTTTCATCTAAGGAGTACGAGGTTTACATACGGATGTCTAGCCAAAAGTAAACATGCGGCAAGAATCGGAATCGACTTGGAGGAAACGCAGTTGCAGGGTGGCAAGCTAACATCTGATCCGTATAGAGCTACGACTCTGTTTTGTTTACCTGAGAACGTCATGTTATGGTTACCTAGGGCAATCTATTGAAAATCAGTGAGTTTATAAAATACTAGTCTAATGAATGTCCTGCAGAGATTCGCTTAGCTTAAGTTTTAAATGTCTCAAAATGCAGGTATACCTTTGAGAAGAAGAAACGATGTAACCAAGTTTGAAAGAGAGTCGCATCCCATGGTTTTTTGTGGTGAATAAGTAGGAAAGCAAAGATAATACAGCTATAGTAAATGTAGTGAAACCGCTGGACCATTTATTTCATAATTGTAGAAGTATGTTAATTGACATACATGACATATTTATTTTAGGCACAGGTTGGTTCTCACTCATCTAACTGTCGTACTGAATTAGACCCTACTACGAGCATCACAAATGAGGGCCTGACACCAAGTTTCCACGAAGAAACATCGTCATGTTTAGGTTATTTAGATAATATGTGGGATACGTTGCATTATTTGGCTTATTAATTTGTTCCAGAACAAAATATTTCGGCGGATGTTAAATCCGAAAGCTGGGTAGCGGGGAATCGTATGCAGTCGTCATCAAAAGCAGCCTACAATTATGATGGACATATGTCACCTGACCAAGTTTCAGAGGTCATGGCAGATGACGAGGATTGCAGTGACTCGGATCCAGTGCTATGTCATGTAAGCTAATCAGCTTTTTTTCCAAAAAGCCGAGTGTCTTAGTGCCTCCAAAATAGTGAGATTTTTTTCCCTAGTTTGAGACGATTTGGTGATTTTTTGCAACATGAGAAAGCCAGAGGAAAAAATCACTAGTAGACTTGTATGACAGTGTTTTCTTAACTTACTGCATTTGCAATGATCGCCAATTCTTGGTGGGGATGTGACACGGCGCCAATGTTTTGCATGTGCTGCGATTCATACATAATTCGTATCGTCCGCCCTTAAAAAGACTGCTACCTTTTCTGTGTTTTACACTCTGATATTCGGTTTTCCTCCGTGTTTTCCGTCCATCTCTGTGGATATTTGCATTGTACACGTCCTATAAGCCCAAATTTTTGGAGAATGTTATCCGCTCTCAATAGTGGGCTTCGCGCAACATATTTTAAGTGTATTTTGGTACTTATATGTTTTAATGTTCACCCGTTGCACCACGATAACTATGGATCGGCATTACTTACTTGCGTACTTTGATGGCCCGTCTTCACTGGTTGTGCTAGCTCCAGCATAGTTTCCATGTTTTCGGAGTTTTCCTGTTTAGCCATAGTGGTTCTCAGGAGTTCTGAGCTCAGCCAGACTAAAGTCTGCCCAAGGTAGTCACCACCACAGGCAATCGCCGCCGTTGTTGATTAGAGGGAGATTACCATGCGACTAGTTTGGTACCAGGGCGGTGACGCATCTTGGTAATGGTTTACTATTAGCTTGTCTTTCTGATGGAAACGCCTGACTCTTTCTCATCTTGAGAAACCGTGCCATTCGAACGAATCTCTCCGCTGTACTTCGTAACCCGATACTCGGGAAGACCTCCCAGCACCGATGAGACGTAAACCGTTTTGAGAATGGATCGTCATTGCGATTATAGAAGAAATAACGGAGAATTGATGGTTAGGAATTGAACTTTAAACTCTTGAATCGTGCCAACCGAAGGGGAAGGAATGAGTGGTTGGACAATGCTGCGTCAAACAGCCACTGTGTCTTCGACAATAGTAAGTCCTTGGTGGATCAACAGCTCCCTGTTTAGTTTTTCGAACATCTATTTTTTTAGCGAAATATTTAGATGTTTGGGATGTGACTGATAACATCGAGACGAACAAATGCAGACAAGGGAGAAGGCTTGGTCAAAAGAATAGAATGTTGTTGAAGAAATAAAAACGTTTATTAGCTTCTGCCTCATGATGGGAAATATTAGTATGGCGCGACTGTTATCGGAGTTACACAAATTTAGTTTTTGGAGGTGGGTACTTCTTCAGAACTGGAATTATGGATGGATCCGTGTTAAAGAAGCTACTTGACGATTTGTTGGAAGAAAAAAGAGGATCTGTATACCAACAAATCGTGTACAAGTGTTTCATTAGGTAAAAAATCACTAGGAGTGGAAGAGAGAGACTTACGGTGATCATGTCCGGCCTGTTCGTCAAAGTTGGAAGCCGTCGAAAGCTGCAGCCAGTCAAAACTGCTTCTGGATAATAGCGATCAAGTGGATTTCTACTTTCCCAGTGCTAGAAAATCTAAAAAGTATTTGAAACGTAGTTTTCCTTTCTTCATAATTTGGTTATATATACGTTTTCATCTGGTTACTGAAACGTGTTAACAAATGGAGGATCTGTTATCTGCGATAGTGACAACAAATCGAAATGAATGAGTTTAAGATTCTACTTCTACTTAAGATTAAGAGAGTACATGCATTTTCCTCAAGTTTCAGAGATTTCACATATACATAATTTTGTTGTCTGCTATAGGAAAGTAGCACATTTCGTGGTTCCAAATTTGATTCAGAACGTCTAGGTCAGTCCTAGACTTAGCCAGCCCAAAGATATAGTTTGTTTGTATTATTCCAGTACTACTCAGAAGTGGTGAAATATAGAGGCCGCAGGTACCAATGGCTGTAAACTGTTTCCAAAGAGTGTTCATTACAAAGGTTCTGGGATTTGTTCATTGTGAATTTGTATTGTAGAGGTGTAAAATTCAATCTGTAGACTGAAAAGTAAGAAATAGAATGGTAAAAGGAGCCAAATTTGTCGCAATCATCACGTTTGCAACATCAGTAAGGGGTTGAGCGACTGAGAGTTTTGAATATCTAATGGTTCCAAGTGTGCGTGTGGCGCAATGGTCGGAAGCGTCCTGCAATACATCTGGAATCGATCTCCGCGCTCATGGCTCACCAAGCCTTCCATCGCTCCGGGGTCGGCCAGTTGGTATCAAACTTGTCTGGAAGGATAACAGCACTGGCTCGATATATCGGTAGCCCACCGCGAGTCATTGTAAAGGTCAGATATGTATTCATCCACCTCCAAACGATGCTTAATGAAGTCGAATGCATGACGCATCCCTCAGGGATTGATCAATGCTGGGAGTTTTATCCTTTTATTTTTTCAATGGTTTAAAAGGTAGATCTTCAGAAGCACACTGATGAAACCTCACTTTGTGAACCCCTAGTTTTTTTCGAATCTGGTGTTGTATCTTATGGTGTCGAGAAAATGTCCGTAAGCGTTGAACATCAGTATGTAAGACCAACTGTCAGATCCTAGTACTTTCCTCATCAGGAACAACTTCTCCACAGATCTCAACTAGACGAACGATTTTGTCTGGAAAGTCGTCTTCTCTTTTTTTTTGCTGCGAACTTCAGACGCTATTGTTCACCAACAATCGATGAAGGATAAAGGATAAAATTCTCGGCTTTAGCCAATCCCTGACGGTTACGCCATTCATTCGACTTACTCAAGCATCGTTGGAGGTGATTGAATGCACGCCTGACTTTTACAATAACTCGCGATTGCTTACCGATGTGTCGAGCCAGTGGTGTTATCCTTTTAGACAAGTCTGGTACCAATTTACCGACCCCAGAGGGATCGATGGCTTAATGAGCCTAGGGCGTGAAGTTCTATCCCATGGGTATTGCAGGGCGCCTCCGACCACTGCGCTACACGCGCCCATGCCAACAATTCAGTGAGTACAAAATTTTAACAAAAGGACTCCATATTGCAAGTAAACAGACATAAAGAGGACGATTTGTACACATTTATGTCATCGCCAATGCACTAAAGTTTCTGTCTGGTTGGAAAATCCAACACTTTTTCTTATTATTCACACGATGATTTGACCTATAAGTCTTATGTGGAGAGACACTGTGACCCATATAACTTCTAGAGAGGTGATTTTTTTTCGGTGGTTTATTTCAGCGTACAGAACGTTTTTCCCCATACTTTTTGTACTCAACTGATGGCTTGCCTTTCGTGGTAACATGTAGTAAAGAAGAAAAAGCTCTCGGCGTCCATCTATCTCCGATGGATGCGCAATGCATTCGACTTCATCAAGCATCGTTAGAGGTTACTGAATTCGTATCTGGTCTACACAGTTGCTCGCGGGGGCTAACCGAAATATCAAGCCAGTGTTGCTATCCTCCCAGACAGGTCCGCTACCAATTTTCCGAACCTGGAGAAATGGAAGGTTTAGTGAGCCTGGGGCGCGGGATCGAACCCGAGTGCATTGCAGAGCATGTTTAATCACTGCGTTACCCTCGCCCCATCTGGTAAATAGTAGCACACAAACTATGCATACCACCAAACCGATAAATCAAATTTTGTTTAATAATGCCATTATGTTACAACCTCTGAAGTCCTCTGGTTATCGAAGACATATCACCTATTGTCTAAAAACCAGAAAGTCCGTACCGAGTAGAAATTAGCCGTCTTCTCACATTCAGCCACACAAAATTAGGCGTTGTCGTATAAGTGTTAAGGACTCGTATTCATTTTTTTTTAAACCACAGGTATAGTCATTTAACTGGTTTATGTATTTCTTACATAGTGAGTTTTTTTTTTTGCTATTTGTTATAAACAAGCTAACAATGGCACAATCAGTCACAGGGTTCCATATTTTTCTGGTGTCGCATCTATAACGTTCTCTAAAGTTGTTCAAAAGTTGAGGTCAGTTGTTGAAGTGTGCATTTATTCTACAGTGGTTGTTCTTCAAATAAAATATTGAGAAGCTAGCAGTGACATTTTTTGTATACTAAATGACGTCTTCGATAAATTCCAGCTTTGCTATCAACCTTTTGTGTTGGCCAATCTGACAAATGTAGCTGAGCACGCGAAAGAGCACTATTATGTCAAGCAGTTCGAATGCGAGCTTTGTGGTTTTGCTAACAACAGACGACTTCAAGTTAGAAGTCATGCATTTCATCAGCATCTGTACCAACGCCCTCGTATAATAGAGCACAAGTGAGTACCGTCCTTTTTATAATCGATTCCATTCCGATCTAATGCTTTTTTCTCAATTTAGTGACGAGAATATGAAGAAAGCATGGACACAGGTTGCCCGAATATGCTTTCCTAGTCTTCCTAGACGATTAATGAAGGAGAAGGTGAGCGGTTGCATCAAGTGATATATGTTTCTTCCGTTTTTTTTTCTACAGGATAGTTACTCGCTTTTTTCCAGATGAAATATTTACGATCTCATCCAACTTCTGAAGTTGTGTTTGAAACAGCACCATCTAATGTCTCCAAGAGTGGATGTTGATTTCGAGTAGTGCTATTTTTATCGACAAACTGGTAAACTTGGAACTTTGCTCATTGTTTTTAGGTAATGTGTTGTCTAGTATGAGTTTCATATTTGTTCCTCATATTGTTGAAACAGTTATTATGTGCGCACGATAATGCAGTTTTTTCGTCTGATCTCGGAACTTCACTGGGGCTAACCAGAAGTTTTTCTTATAATGTCTGTCCATTGTTTATATTTTTATAACTAGAAGTTCTTATAAGCCGTTTCCTCATGTACCCTTCTTATGCTTTTCTTGCTCATAGATTTGTTGTTGTTTAGATTGTTGAAATATTTAATAAAAACTATTGGTAACTATTGTCCACCGTGGCACCTCTTGCGGTACATTTCTGATTGTATTGGTCATTCGTAGTAAATCATTTAGAAGTTGTAATTGCAAGGCAAGGGCACGTGTGGCGCAGTCGTCGGAGGCACCATGCAATACACATGGAATCGATCCCCGCGCCTATAACTCACCACGCCCTCCATCCCTCTCGGTCGGCAATTTGGTACCAAAATTGTCTGGGGGAATAGCTGCACTGGCTCGATACATCGGTAGGCCACTGTGAGTCGTAGTAAAGGGCAGACATGCATTCAATCACGTCCAACGATGCTTACTGAAATTGAATACATGGCGCGTCCTTCAAGGATTGATCAACGCCGAGAGTTTTATCCTCTTATCCTTTTATTAATTGCGGAGCCAATACAATTTAAGGAAGGAGATTATTTCTCGACGGTGGAAAATGTGGGCGGCCTTTGACAGTTCTGGTGGGTGACAAATAGAATATGTCGAATTAAAAGGTGGGGTGTTTCGGCTTTTTGTTTGGTTTTCCATGTCTTATGCTAGTGAGGTTTGATTTTGAAAGAAATACGAAGATAGAGCTCTCGGCGTTGGTTAATTCATGTGGAATATGCCGTGTTTTCGACTTGATTGAGCGTTGTTAAAGGAGATAAGTATTTGGACTAAGCAATGATATGCGGTGGCCTTTCGATCTGTGAGGTCAGTGCTTGTATCTTTTCAGAGAAGTCTGCTATCAATTTGGATTGAACCAAAGACAATGTGTGCATTGCAGAGCACTTCCGACCGTTGCGCTACATGCAGCCTGAGGTTCATTACGATAGAGAAGATGTGAGCTATGGCTGTCGGCCCAGCCTAGTTCTGTAACCGTGGTGCCAACGACGACAGGAATAGAGTAGGACTCATGGCAATTTCAAAGTGTATAATTACTCTAGCATGACAATATGCTCACCTACAGCGTTGAAATCGAAATGTGGCCTACGGGTTCAACGACATCAAGTTCATAGTTTTGACAATATTTAATTCAAAAAAAGTTGTAGTAGGGACTAGATAGAGAGCGCAGTGAATAGCAGTATTTATGTCATGTACACTATGGGATTTTAGTTGGATCTCTCCTCAATTTTTTTTCTGCCACTAGTAATTAACTGGAAGTTTTGATTAGGCCAGATTTTGGCTGTACCGATAAAAGCGGTGCGTAAAGGGAGGAGGAATACGACGACGATATCAAGGGCAGTAGCTGTGCGATATTATGTCAGTGCAGACCTTCTTAAGTTACTTATAGCACTTACCATTGTAATGAGGTGCCCACTGTCCATCACAGCAGTCTATACTTGTGTAATTCTTGCCAAGGGCGTGAAATAAAGGATCTAATTCCTCCGTTCTTAGAAGAACCTACAATAAGAAGGCGTTTGAATGAACAAGTATGGAGATGCAACGAAAATCTCAGAGCCTTTCTGGGTTGCCGAGGACCTGAGGTATGGTCGCTCTCAGGGCTTACAATGCACTACCTGAGACGTCGAATGCTTTTATGGAGAATGCGGTAGTGAAGCTAAGATCAAGAAGTGAAACCGCTTCGGAGCCACATAAACAAAAAGACACTGCCTGTGAAAGGCATTTGTTCCACGGGCATAGAAACGAGTTGTACGTGAATGTCTATTTTTTTGAACCAGTAGCAACCGACAAATACTTTCGCAGTTGTGCCTCAGACTGGTGTTCCGTGATGGTCTTTGACATCTGTACCTCTACGTCAAGTTGGTAAAACAACGAAATGGCGGTGTTTTGTGCCGAACGTCGGGGAATTTTGCAAAAAGGGTCACATCAGTAAGGTCATCACCGTGCTGTGCCTCCAAAGTTAGCAGTTAACGATGGTCACGGACGAAGAGGTACTGAGACGGTGAGTGTCTTGGATGAATTAGCGGTGATTAGATGCTTATTATCTGTCGACGGAGAAGCGCATAATGTCCATGATGAGTAGTGTGCAAACTGCATTATTCATGATGCATGAACCATGTTTCGAAAGAATGGTAGGATTTGTACTGTAGCATAAGAAGACGAAGCAAAAAGATATGGTTGTACGATGCTGCCGCCAACAATTTTGCGAAGGTATGCATTGGCTTCGATGCACGTATGAAATGAGAAATAGAGGCCTGGATGGTGTAGATTAACTCCGGCCGTATGAAATCAATCGCTTTTCTACTACAGATGTCATATCATGCGTATTGCAGAAAAACCTAGCCTCTTCACATCAAATTTACAACGTAGAGCTTTCGATATGGCTTTGTTCGTCTACATCAGTCTTACGTCATTTACTTGCTTTCTGTATCAACAAGGTTCTGGTCACTTCTTGTGGTGACGACCTGCCAGCGCCCTGATGTGGGTTTTTCGAATTGCAAGGAAAAAATCTTCTTAAAGCAGCAACACTCCCCAAATATAGGAGATTTTTCGGGTTCCAAACGATTATTGCCCAAAAGAGCTGATTCATTAATTAAATGCAGCAGATCGTGAATTTTTTCTGAAAATATTCCTAATATTTTAAGACGAAACTCTTTATTAATTGAGCTGTTAGCTATAAACTCTGCCAGCAAAGAAGTTGAACTATAAAATTTAGATGTATTAAAGGTTTTTTGTACGGTACAAGAGTCATTTTTATTATCTTTGCTCTCTTCCTTAAGTGTTACCTCAAAAGGGCGCATGTGGCGCAATAGTCGGAGACGTCCTGCAATACACCTGGGATCGAACCCGGCGCCCTAGGCCCACCAAGCCCTCCATCCCTCCTGGTTTGGCACGGCAGATTGGTAGCATACTTGTCCGGGAGGATAGCAGCACTGGCTCTACACATCGGTAGGCCACCATGAGGCGTTATAAACGCCAGATATGCATCCAATCACCTCCAACGATGCTTAATAGAGTGGAATAAGTGCCACATTCCTCAAGAATTGATCAACGTCGATAGGTTTATCCTTTATCGTTTTAGTGACTAAAGAGGTGGTTTTTTTGATTTGTAATACTGCCGAAACGTCAGGTAGCGTTGTATTGTATTGTGTTTTTCTATGGAAGTAAATGTATGCTGTTTAAAAACGTCGCGATTGCTGAACAAGAAAATGACACATTAATAAATAAAGCTTTCGGCGTCGATCAATCCTTTAGGGATGCGTCATGCATCCTACTTTATTAAGCATTGTTCGAACTGATTGAATGCATATCTGACCTTTACAATGAATCGCCGTGGCCTATCGATGTATCGAGCCAGTACTGCTATCCTCTTAGATAAGTCTGGTACCAATTTGCCAACCCCGGAGGGAGGGAAGGCTTGCTAGACGATGGGCGTGGAGATCGATACCATGTGTATTGCAGGGCACCTCCAACCACTGTGCCACAAGCGCCTTTGTGTTTTATACGTCGTGAAATATTATTCGTTAGTGTAAGGTGAACTAATTACCTTTTTATTCTTTGCTAATCAGGTCATGCTGTTTATTAGTATTAGTTTATTGGAAGTATCATTACTAAAGAAGTTGCATGTTATTTCGTTGCTTTTAGGTTATTGAACGAAACTACGTATTTATGCAGTGGTGTCACGAAACCATGTGATGTTCAACTACCCGAGAAATTAGTGTTTCAGGTAATTTTTTACAAAACTGAAAATCTATTCATGAAGTAACCACATTGGGTCCTGCTTAGCCAACGTCATGGTACGCAGTTTCCCTGTTAGAAATGTGTTATCAAATATTTACTTTTGTGCTCACCAAAGGTCTTAGCAGTCATCTAAAACATTTTTCATCATTGCTGTTGGAATTAGGTGTCTAGTGGTATATGATGATGTTATTAGATAGTCGAGGAGCTCTATATAAATGACAAGTTATTCTGGAATGCTCTTGATGTGGTTTGTCTACCATACTTCTGCTGCCATGATCATGTACAAACCTCCAAAAGCTTTTATTGTCAATAAATACTTTTCAAGTAGCTCTAGGTTATGGTTCCAGCGTATTCTCAACGAACAAAAATGCCATATACGAACTAAGAACGGAAAGGTCCGAGGTTTTTTCTTCCTTTGAGATCCAGTTTTCGCCATTACTGCTTCCATTTCGATAAATAAATCACAGATTGAATTAACTCCACTATATATCAGTGAAAGTAGCTTCATGCTGATAATTACGATCTGTGGTTTGCCCTTCTATTCAAAGCAATAAAATTGGTTTTGATCCCAGTTCGTCTAATTGTAAAAGTACTTGATAAGTAGGGTTTGCGAAGATTCGGTAAACACTTCGTTTAGTCCGGTCTCATTAACGAATTTCCCATTAAACCGAACTATGTTGAGGTTACACATATGGAACCGGTTTAACTGTAGAGTAAGGATTGTGTATGTTCACATAGCTTTTCGGGTTCTTTAGAAGCAGTGAAATACGACCTGAACATGGTTTTAATATTGTTAAATATTGTTCAAATTTATATTTTTGAGTATTAATTGTCAGTTACTGTAATAATATTGTTCCTCCTAACGGTCTACCGTCTCATTGTAGCTGTGAGGTGTTACTGGGTGTCGGGCTGCGATGTACAGCGAGGAATTCATCCGCCAACAGGGTCTCTTAACCTGAGAAGGAGTGCAACGTTTCCATCAGGAAGCTCGGCTAAAAGTGAACCAATACCAGTGCCGAGATCCACTACCGTCCTGGTAACAAATTAGGCG